TAAAACTTATCGGTTAAATTTTTTAAAATGATATAATTTTTTTTTGTTTTAGTATTTTGAAGTTGACCAATTGTTACGATAAGCAATTAATGATTATAGATGATCTGCACCGTAGAAGGAACGCGCAGGGGTAGCATAACCTACCTCAGTTATTTTATTGGAACGGAAATTGGATGGGAACGATAAGCCAGCATATGATATCAAATGACGTATAAAATATGTTTGACCCATCAAACTCGCGATGAGGCCAACCCGGTTGCATAACCTAACTCACTGAGCGCCTTGTATTTTAAATCACCCGGGATCACCAATTTGATATACAAAAATTTATCTCGAATGACTTGAGTTTTATGACATACCCATCACTCAAATGACTTGAGTTTTATGATCAACCCATCACTCAAATGACTTGAGTTTTATGATCAACCCATCACTCAAATGACTTGAATTTTACGATCTACACGTCATAGCTGAGGGGGAATAACCTAGACTAAGTGGAAATAACATGATTATGTTATTTCCACTGCATTATTAGTATTAGAATTATATGATTTTCACAAAACAAATAATTATATTCTAACCTTGGAAATGCCCAAAAAAAATTCCAGAAATTAAATTAGAAGCTCCTTGAACAATCAATTCATGATCTATATCTATTTGATGGCCATAAATTGAAGCTTCAAATTCAGTAATCTTTATATGGGTGCTCAACATCATAAAGAAAATGAGAGTAAGCATTGTAGAGATAGTTTTTCCAATTGCTCCCCAACTGATTAATCTAAAATCTATACAATCAACATATATTGTTGATAAATTAGTATATTATATTTATATTAATCAGTAAGCAGATTTATATATACTCATGCTTACAAAAATTAGAGTAGAATTCGGATATTGTGATTTGATTATCTAAAGCAAATATCCAACCATTTTCAATCAATGATTCCAAAGAAATACTCCAAAAGTGTTTTATGAAATAGAAACTCGAGAAAATTGATAAAATACTTAAAGTGGTGATTGGAACATAATTATTTTTAGCTTCGTGTCTAACAAAGACTGCAAGACTTGATGCCAAAATAGAGGCCAAAGCAAATAATAATAAATTGTTCTTATGAAAAAATACTCTATAGTTATAATCAAAAGACTCGGAATTTTGTACTGAAATCTTTATAGCAGTCCAAACTAAGTAACTGCCGATACTACCGAGTACTCCATTATAAATGTGTTTTGGGAAGATATCCAAAAGGAAACGAAGCTAGGTTTTTTTACAGATGTTAATATACATGATATATTTGTTAATAATTATAAATAATATATATAATAGATTACCTTGAATCGTACAAATAATAAAAGCCCTACACCAGTTAGTATGGCACTTAGAGCGTAAGCAAATAATATTGTGCAAACCACATAATCAGATTTTGCAGATGCAAGATGTTCTTCAATTATTTCCGCTCTTTTTTTTTTAATATTAAGCAAATTATTATTAGATATTATTCCTTTAAAATACAAAAAAAATGTAGTTGTTGAAATATTTACTTACATCAAATGTAAAAATGGCAATACTATTATTATTATTTAAAAATCAAGGTGAAAATTTTATTTATTAGATTATGAATAATTTTGATCCCTAACTTTTTTTCTAAAAATACTTGCATTGTATTATCATTGTATTTCCTCCGTGAAGGTTACCAAAAATTGAATTTACGACTTTCGAAATAATACAACTTTATTGATAAAGGATCATTAGCCAATTAAACAAAATTCGATTAAAGTGAACGATTATTATTATATAATTTACCTCGTAAAAAACATCGTCATTCCAATATATTTATAAGCTCCAAATAATTGCTCGTTACTGTTGTTATTGTGATCATGAGTAGGAAATAATATAATACCTAATTTGTTTTTCGTTTTTTTAAAAAAAAATTAAATTAGCAGGTTTATATTTATTTAACTCTTTATTTTTAAATATACTAGTGTTATTATTAATTACCAAAAGCTACTCCGTATACGGTATTTAATAGTAGAAACATGAATATGCTTGAAACTACGTTGTAAATTTGCAATAGAAAACAACATTCATCTTCTTCTATAGGTCTTGTTATTTCAGTACAATCAGTGTGCCCAAATGAATGATTTGATAGTAATGAGCTGTCATCTGTAAAATCTATAATTGACTCAGTTGTACACGTTATTCTATGTTGTTGTTGTTGTCGTAGTCGTTGTTGCTGTTGCTGTTGCTGTAATTGTTGCTGTTGCTGTGGCTGTGGCTGTGGCCGTGGCTGTATTAGTTGTTGTTGCTGTATCTGTAGCTGTAGTAGCAGTTGTTGTTGTTGTTGTTGTTGTTGTGAAATTTGGAGATAAGGATCTACTCTTTGTGGTAGATTACAGTGCGGCCTTGTGTTTAATTGTTGTCCAAAGACAGGTATATGAGGTCTTGATTTCTGTTTCCGAGTCATTTCATTAAGGTTTCTCGTATCATAGTTATTGTTGTTATTATTATTACAGTTGTTATAAATGTGACAATTGCAACAGCAGTTCGGACGGTTTCTCGCTGCCGCGCTAGTTTCTCCTAAATACATAGTGATAGATTATTAATATTTTATTTATTATTATTGGATATTTTAGAATTAAAGATTTTTACCAAGAAAATTTAAATTGTTGTTATTCATGTTTTTTATTGAAAAAGTTAATTTTTTTAGAAGAGTTATTGAATTGATTCATTTAACGAGAACTATAAGAAGAGACTGTATGTATATATAAAGTAATTTTCTTATATATCACGGAAAATAAATTGAAAAAAATCGGAATTTTTTTTTTACTATTACGATCGACTAATTAATTTTATTTTTCCTGGGACGATTAATATTTAATATGGATAAAATCGGCTCTTTCATTTTGCTGTGGGGATTACATAAGATGCATATGTGTATATATTTTCCAATAATCCGGTTTTTAACCAGAAAAATTGACTTGACCAATTAATTTATCCAAGGGATCATCGACTGCGGTGTAACATGGCCTATGTAGATCAAAACGTTAATACACTCCCCTGCCAAAAGTATCCAAATACTTTTAGCAGGGGAGTGTATCATAATAAAATTACTAATAAAAAAAATTGTATCTCCTCCTTCAAAAAAAAGATGAAACTATGAAATTAAGAGAGAAATTGTAATAAATGTAATGATAAACATGCTGACAGGGAGTTTTTTTAAATTTTATTAGTAAAAAAAGGAATTATAAGGATCTGAAGTTGTGCGTTAAAAATTTATCGATTTTTTCTTTTGAAAATCTTTTCCTTTTAAAGAAACAGTCATTAAAAAAAAAAGAATCGCATGTAGAAAATCTCCAAATTTTAAGAATTAAAAGTTTTTAAATAAATTTTATAGAATGCAGGACATCTATAACTATCAATGATTATCACATGACTTAAAAGCCTATAACTCCTTATTAAAAAAGGAAAAGAAAAAAAAGTAAACCGATAGAATCAAAGCTAAAGACCTAAGCTTCATTTCCATCTGTTTCTATATGTAAATTGTAAAATTTCGGGATGATCTAAAAGCCTTATGATCAGTGTATAATAATAAAATTCAATGCGTGTGTAACCGTACATTAGTAGTTTTCTGCAGATAGTTTCTAAATTTTTAAATTCCGGGCTGTGATATTTATACGTAGATGAGTTTGAACCATATAGTTTTATTTGGTGATTGAATTCATGAAATTCAAGAATATTCGTTAAGGTTAAAAATAACTGATTTGATACATATAGTAATTTGTTATAATGATGTGATCTATGCTTGGTGATCTACAAGAATGGAACGCCCCAATCATCGATGAACCATGTGGGATTGACCAAATGTTGATGTGATCAGGTGATTAAGTTTCACCAGTTCCGCCATAGTTTAGATAGAAGAATCTCTGTTTGTATAAATTAGGAAGATAATTGCTTTTTTCTCGTATATATACTATTTGGGAAATCAATTTATTAATAGAAAATATTAGTTAAATGTTTCACAATTAGAAATTAGATGAAGAAAGCTGTTTTCGGAAATGAAAGAAAAAGGAATAGCACACTACCAATTTGTCGTTTTAAAAGATTTTTCGTTTAATGTACGACGTCACACTAGAATTTTTCTCATGGTATAATAGTTGTGTGTCTACTTTTTTAAAATTAAAAAAAAAAATTTTTTTTTTGAAATAATAAAATATCGAAAAACAACCAAAAATAATTTTCACAATGGATAATAAAAATAATAATAATAGTGATTACAATCACAATAACTTCACCAACAATGATTCTAGTCACTATATAAAACCTATTAGTAGAAGCAATTCAGCAGCGTCGTCATTATCATCAAAATCAAGAACATACATCGATACACAACCATCATATGCACAATACCATGCTATTGCTACTACTACTGCTGCTGCACCGCAACCTCCACCGCCACAATTTCACTATACCGCCAGAGATAACAATAATTCACAAATTTCAATTTCAAGTAATTACAACGACAATAACTTCACCAACAATGATTCTGTTCACTATATAAAACCGATTAATACAAAAAATTCAGCAGCGTCGTCATTATCGTCATTATCATCAAAATCAAGGACATACATCGATACACAGCCATCATCTATGCAATACCCTACTACTACCACCACCACCACAACGCCACAACCGCCGCCACCACAACCTCACTATACCACCAACGATAACAACAATTCACAAATTTCAATTCCAGTTAACAACTACAATGATGTTGAAAGAAGAGAAGAAAAATTTTGCAAAATATGTCATGAATCATCATCATCATCACAGACATTATCTCCAACGCAACCATCTATAAATTCTACGAATTCATCATTTAAGTCATCATTTTGGTCAAACCTTTTTGCAAAAAAGCACAAAGAAAAGAATAAATTAATTTCGCCGTGTAGATGTAAAGGTTCATTGCAATATGTACATTTGGAATGTTTGAATAAATGGCGTAAATCAAACACAAGAAGTGATTCGGCGTATCAATGTGAAGTGTGTAAATATAGATATAAAATGTATAGACCGTTCATAATACACATAATTGATAGTGAAATATTTTTGCATTTGATGACAATGATCGTATTCCTTTTACTGGTATATTTGCTATCTTTTCTGATGAAAGTGATTGATTTTAAATGGATTACTCCGGGTGGGCCGGCTGGTGAAGAAAAAAACGATTGGAAATATACCACAGTGTTGAATTTATACCTGGTTCACATCATAATAAGTTTGTGTATAATTTCGTGTTGTGGATTGCTATTTTTGCTTTGTAAATATATATTTGGACAAGATACAAGTATGGGCGGTCCTTTAGGTTGTTCTTGTTGCGTTGGTCCAAGAGGTGTCGGTGGTAGTAGCACGTATTTTTGCTGCGCTGCTTGTATGTTTGATGACGCGGATGGATGTGGATCGTGTGTTTGTATTTTATTTATAATATTAGCTTTTTGGATTTTTCTATTAGGAATATTTGGAATTTTATTGATAAGTTACTTGATAATCAAAAACATAAATAATTATTTACTAGATCATGTCAAAGAAACCATTCTAGAAGTAAAAAAAAATTAATCCGATTATTTATATAGACAATAAAAGAGAGAAAGAACACAAACTTTTATTGAATTTAAAAAGTTATTTCATATTTTTCATATTTATAAATAAAGGACCCATTTTTTACTAGTAATTTCACGTAAAAAAAAATTAACATTATAAATAATAACATAGATAGATATGTCTGGTACATTATAATATATAAAATATAAAATATAAAATATAATATATAATATATATAATATGTGTAAATAATATTGTCCGAATGATGACATAATGAATAATGACATGATGAATGAAATAAAATAATTAAATGAATGTAAAAATTTGGGACCTATACAAAATAATAATAAGTGGTAATATAATAATAATATTTACATTACAAATGATAATAAAATAAAAATATATCTACAAAAGTCAAAATATGAATAATTTGTTCACCACGATAGTTGATAATTTATTGAAGAATTGGTTATTTGAACTTGTTGTATTTCTCTTGCGATCTCGTTAAATCGTTGATAAGATAAAGATGTTGATGCTAATGATGTACTATAGTTATCATATCCATCATTATGAATAATATTGGTGACATCAACGCCACTACTAATATTTCCACCGTTATTTCTTCTTCTTGTTGGCAAAGTGATAAACATTGGCATTTGTCTTTCATCGATAGTGGATGAAATGTTACAGGAAGATTGCAACCTCTCTATCCACGAGACACATTCTTCTTTGTCGTCTGCCTGAATTAAATATTGATGACCTGTCTTGAACTTTATCCTTAGAACGTGCTTGCGCTTTGGATAATCAATTGCCAACTCTACTTGTGCGTCTTGCATGCTAAATCGATTTAGAGGTTTTGCAATCTATAATTGTTATATATATATATATATATTTTTTTTTAAAAAAAAAGAATTAATCAATTAATTATTAATTCATGGAAATAAACAATTTCAAAATTTTAAAAAACACTCACGTTGATGTTGTCTGGTTCATGTGCATAAATACGTAAAAAAGTTCCCCATAAATATAAATATCTTCTTTGCCATGATCTTTTTGTTGCTTTTAATCCTTTACGTGTAAACTCTTTCTTGATCAGTACAAATCCTGAATGATTTACAGTACACGAATATTCAGGCAATAATTCATTTTCTTCATTGTCACAATCAACATTATATTTTGATTTGTCGTCGATAGATTGATGATCGTTTTTCTTATCTTTATAGTCGTCAACAACTATATCAAAATATGATGGTGGCGATGATGATTGGGCTGGTGATAATGGTGATGAAGTTAACAATGATGATATGGACGGTATAATAGGCATTGAATGGCGCCAATTCTTTGGATTAAGTACACTTTGATGTTTTCTTTTATTTTTACTCTTATTATTAATATTACTCGTAATCATATTATTATTATTATTATTATTATTATTATTATTATCGTTGTTGTTATTTGAATCCTCGCTTTCTACTATAGTGAGACCACCACCACCACCACCATTAAATATTCTAGATGATAATGACAATTTGGTTAATCTGGATGATTTGGATGATTTGGATGAATTTTTTGATTGTGTTCTTAATAATGTAGATGTTGCGAATGGTGTATAAGACGGTAATGTTGTTATTGATGCAGATGTAGCTAATGTAGATGATGATATGTTGGATTGTGGATTGTGGTAAAAGTTATGGGTATTATTATCATTAACATTGATTTCATTAATGTCATCATGGTTTTCATCATTATTACGTTGTGTATTTATTAAGTCTATTTCAGAATATTCTGGAATCGGCACGGTGCTGTCGTAATCGGAGACTTGTGTGGTAGCGTTATTAAGGATAATACCAACATCACTTTTACTATCATCACCATCATCACCATCACCATCATCATCATTATTATTATTATTATTATTATTATTATTATTATTAAAGAAAAAAGATGATCCATCACTATCTTCTTCAGTTATTGGTGTTAAAAGTTTCTTATTGTTATTCTGAACAGTTTCTAAAATTAATTGTTCATCAATTATTATCTGATCATCATCATCATCATCATCATCATCACCCTCTTCTTCTTCTTCAACTCCTCCTTCTTCGTCATAATTTTTATCATCATTATTAATCTCTGATAACAATTTTTTTGTATTTATTGCAAGTGTAGAAATATCATTATTGTTGTTGGTTGAAGTTAATAATAATTGTTGGAGTTTTTTGATCCATAAAATCAATATTTTGCGATGTGATTCATTCTTGATTCCGATAATTTTTAATGTTTGTTCGTTTAACGTTAAAAAAATGGTAAAGTCAATATCATGTTTTTGAAATGTTGGTAGATATTGTTGAAGATGAAGTTGAGTTAAAATTGATTTCATGGTAGTGGCTATTAATTATTAAAAAATTGAGAAAAGAAAGTGAGAAAATTTTAACAAAAATAAAAAATAACAAAAATTAACACGTGTAAATTATTTAATTTTATTTATTTATGTTATTTATACTTGCCTTTATTACTTTTCGATATTCTCGCAACCATTTTGTTGAAAAAGAGCAATTAAACTTAAAATATAAATTATTTATAAAGCGTATTTATTTATTTTTTATTTAGAAGTGAAAGTAAGAAGCAAGAAAAATTCTTAATTTTATTTTTATTTTTTATTATTATTATTATTCCAACTATATAGTTAATAGTTAATAATACGATAATAGAAAAAAGGGGAACCTTATTATTGAAAATTGTAATTGCATGTGACTGATAAAATTTTTAGAGGAGTAAGAAAGAAGTTAATAATAAATAAATGATTTAACCAAATTGAAATTAATTAAATAGTAAAATGCAAATAAATCCCTTGATAAATTTTGACAAGGTTTTTGAAAAATAAATTTTCGATTTTGGGGAAAAGAGAAAACAAAATTGCACTTATTTATATACCTAATACTCACATACATTTATGTGATAATATGTAATGTCTACATTAGAGAAATTATTACCACACACTTAAACATTTGGCTTTTTTTATTTATTTCTATTATCTCATCAGCTAACTTTGTTAACTAACTAATTTAATTATTAGGTAGGCCAGTTAATCAATCAACTAGTCAATTTAATTGATCAAGTAGCCACTAAACCAAATGCAACAAATAAATGTTGATGGTATGATGTTAATGATTTATTTATGGTAAGGTTCGATCCTCTAATCTATGATCGATCTCCTATGCCAATTTATATATGAGTGCATGTAATGTTGGTATTTCACATTCATGCATGATCTTTATTGAATAAAGATTTTCATAAACAATTATTTTTTATTTATGGCAAATAAATAGATGGAAATTTTTGTCCATTAATTTAAATTTTTGGTCATTAATGACGTTGATCAATATTTCTAAGAACGGTGGTGTCATCATCGGATAATAAATAATGCGTCATAAATCACATGCATTCGTAGAATTCTGTAGAATTTTGTACATTTGTAATTTAAAAAAAATGTCTTTTTCAAAAATTTTTAGGGTAAGTTTTTGTATTAAAAATCATACATTAATGATCAAAGAAAGTTTGTACTATATAGTAATAGTACTAGTGTTAGTGGCAGGCGATTGTGGATGAGATTAGCGTTACACGAGGTGGATTTATTTATTTTAACTATGACTAAAATTTATTTGACAAGTCAACAACAATGGTAAATAATTTTTAGATAGACGGCAAAATAAAAATTTTATATATTAAATGACAATCTTTGACATCCTAGATATTATTTTTTGACTCTTTTTTCACGAAACAATTTGGCAAAAACAGTGAATGAAAAACAAAAAAAAAAAGGTGACAAAGCAGTAGTTGCAAACTAATAATAATTTAATATTCAAGTATAAAGATCGTGTTGCGTTTTTCTCCAGGGATTCATTTAATTATAAAATAGATTAGTTGATATCCTCTACAAGTACAATTGTTGTGGAAATCTCTTTTCTCTCGAGAGAAATTGTGTTTGTAGTTCCAATATTTATACATATTACAATCCTATTGAGCTTGCCAAAATCCAAAATCAATGTTAAATTACAACAAGGGATCATGAAAAAAATTAGTGTATATGGGATAGACTAGTGACCCTTATAGTTTTAATCTTCACCAAGAAGCACAAACGCTAATAGTAAATAAAATTAGTACTAGCATGAATTTTATCAAAAGAATCTACTAAATAAAATAGATGGATGGACCAAAATGCTGTTATTTTCATCTTAACCACTACCACTCATTCATTCGTCGCAATTTAAAAACATCAACAACATTAAGAATTCTGAAGAATGCTGGTTTAATCAGAAGCAATTGAATACTATAAGCTCTCGTGGTTGCTAAAGGATCCTGGGACAAAAGAAAAAATTAATTCGCCTCCCCCCAAAAAAAAATATATAATAATATACAACGAATGTTGAATAAAATTTTCTTATATGGGGCCTGGACAATAGAAACGGACCATGTTGTGAAAATGATGTTTTGAGAAAATTTAAAAAAAAGATCTGCATTTCAAGTAATTTACTATTGTTTTTAAAACTTTAATGGAGGGTATCTCAAAGTTTTATTAAGCAAAGTGGGTATGGTTTCTAAGCCAAAAATGTTCTACATGAGGAATTACATATAATAGTGATACTAACTCAAAATTGCTTTTTTCACAACATGGTCCGTTTCTATTGTCCACACCCCATATGTCCAGCCACTTTGTTGAAACAAAGGCAGACTGTAATAGGGGTTCTTCGTACAACACGCCATGCGCCTTAATATTAATAAAATGCTGGTTCATCAGAAACAATTTAACACTAGAAGCTCTCGTGGTTTTTAAAGGACAAAAGAAAAAAAATCCTTTGTATAACACACCTTGCGTCTTAATATTAATAAAATTCTGGTTCATCAGAAACAACTTAATACTAGAAGCTCTTGTAGTTGCTGAAGGACCTTGAAACAAATGAAAAAAAAAAAATTAATTCGCGTCCCAAATAAAATAATAGGAGAGTTCTTTGTACAACCCACAGTGCGCATTAATATTAACAAAATGCTGGTTCATCAGATGAAATTTAATACTAAAGCTCTTGTAATTGCTAAAGGAAGATAAAATCTTTGTACAACACCATGCATACATCTTAATTTGTGTCTCAAAAAATAAAATAAAATATAGTAATAGGAGATTCTTGGTACAACACCACGTGCCTTATTATTAACAAAATGCTAGTTCATCAAAAGCAATTGAATACTAGAAGCTTTTGTGGTTGCTAAAGAATTATGTGATAAATTAGATTAGAAGAAATGTTTCCTTGAAAAGAATGTCATGATATTGCAAGCTCTTAATCATCATTATTACAAAGTGAGGTAATGTTTTTTCGGCAAAGTTAGTTCTTCTATAATATTCTTCATAATCTAAAAAAAAACTGACACTGTCAAGACAAGAACGTTTCCCTCTATCTTCTTTTCAAAGGTCAAGCAAGCTCTCTAAATAAATTTATAAACAATGTACATACAGTAAAAAATGGCAAAAAAATTGAAGTTGTTCGAAAACGTATAACTTACCTAATTTGATTTAATTTTGTTTTGTGTTTTTTTTACGTTTTGATACAAACAATAACTTTTATTTTTTAACTTCTTTAAAAAAGTTTTTAGCCGTTTTCTAGTTCATTTTTAGCTTTTTTCTTGAATTTGATCACGAAATGACTAAATCAAGTTTGAATATGCAACATGAGACCACTTTGCATTGTTGGAACATCGGAATGCGCTCAGTTAAGGAAAGTCAAACGACCACAAAGATCCCATGCAAACTATTTATAATAATCTCAAAAAATTAGAACAAAATAATGGAAGATTGGATTGGAAAAAGGGAGTGGCCGAAAAAAAAAATAACGCCTATTATTGCAAAGACAATTGGCCAGTCTATACGTCGAGATTCTGCTATTTCACTGAGAATACTTGGAACAAAGTTATCAAATAAAGGTTATCAAGTTTCGCACATGGCTATTTCGAGGCATCTTTTGGGTCTTGATTGCAAAAAGAAGCTATCAAAGGCCACCCCGATGTTAACTGAAGACCACAAACGAAAATGAGTAGAATGTGCACAAAATCATCTGAATGACAACTGGAACAAAACCGTTTTTACTGATGAGGCAGCTTTTCAGCTCTTTCGTAATACAATAGAACGTTGGTACAAGAGAGAATGGCCCACTCGTCGAATTCCAAAAGATCGTCAAAAAATTATAAATGGTAAAACTAGTCTTTTTTGCTTCACGAGAATAATGAATGCAGAATTTTATGTCGAAATCCTGGACACGAGTTGTCTTGCTCAGTCATTTCTTAGGAATAACGTTCCTCAACTAATGGACTGGCCCGCAAATAATCCAGTCTTAAATCCCATTGAGAATTTATGGCATTTAGTCAAGACAAATGTAGAAAAGAGAATGCCAAAAAATTGTGAGGATTTAATGCAATTGATGGTTCAGGAATGGAATTCCATTCCCAATAGCATATTAATCAATTTAGCAAGATCAATCAGGCGAAGATGCGAGCTAGTTATAGAAAGTAATGGTGAAAGAATACCATATTAAATTTTTGTCAATAAAACTACTATGCATTGATTGTTAAATAAAATATAAAGCACATTGATTACTATAGCCGTTGTTGTACAATGATCAATAATTCAATTGCCATTTTTTTCGTGACACACTGTATATAAATATGATTGATTTGGACTGAGATTAATGTATTGAAAAAAATTTTTTGCAACATTAAACTTTATACATTTAATGATATTATTTTGAGTAAATTCTTAAAAACAATGCTGTTTAAATTGACTACCTATTACTTGTGTGATTGATTCAATTATTAACACCAAAGGAACAAAATTAATTTTTTCGCAATAAAAGCTGTTTGTTTGTTTGTTTGTTTGTTTGTTTGTTGTTGTTTTTTCTGATTTTAATATTAATGCATGGTTTCTATTTGTAATACAAATTTATCTTTATTCGTTATTCGTTTTATTTGTTTTATTCGAGTTATTCGTTTTGTTCGTTTTATTCGTTTTATTCATTTTATTCGAATTCTTCTTTTATTAGCTTTTATTCGAATTATTCGCTTTATTCGTTTTATTCGTTTTCATTTTATTCGTTTTATTCGTTTTATTCGTTTTATTCGAATTATTCGCTTTGTTCGTTTTATTCGGATTATTCGAATTATTCACTTTATTTGTTTTATTCAAATTTTCGCATTTTTTGTTTATTCAAATTACTATTATTTGTTTTATTTGTTTTATTTGTTTATTCGCTTTATTCGCTTTATTCGAATTGTTCAAATTATTTTTTGTTCAAATTATCCGCTTTATTCAAATTATTATTACTCGAATTATTTTTTCTATTCTATACCTTATTTGAATAGAAAACCCTAACTGCTACTCAATATTATTTTAGTACAAAGAGCTTTAGAAATATTTAACCAATAACTTAATTACAATATAAAGAGCTATTGGTTTATTAAACTAAGCCAATAATTAACTAAAAAATAGGGATTAA